ATTGCCCAGCAGCCGAAGAAGCACCGAGAAATAAATAAATAAAAGAGTAATTCTCTTTATCTCCCTCTGCGGATTTTTGTGGGCCACTTGAGTGAGAATACCGATGATGCGATTTGTATAGCCGCACTTTACGTTTTCATTGGCGTGTGCTTGGAATTTTTATGAAAATATTTAAGTTTCTCGATGGGTAGTTCAACTTTTCAACTGCAAGCAGATGGGTAAATAAACTACACCCAAAAAAAAATTGATATAAAACGATTAACGATTTTGCGGTATGTGGTATCAATTTTGACTTGATGTGCTCAATATGTCAACAATTAATATAATATAGGGTTAGAGTTTATTAATTTACCATACTCACATTTCCTTTATCGGACATTTCTGGTCTCGGGTTCTTCTATTGCCGTAATAAATTGCACTTAATAGCCGCTCGGAGCATTAATTGCTCTTGAATTTGGGGAAGTTCTGCTTTGTTTTATCCGATATATCGATTTTCAGATGTGTATACGGCATACCTGTTGTAATTATTTTATCACTCATTTAATTAGTTGGTTGCGGGTGTGCAAAGTGCCATTTTGTGCATTCCGTGCGTGGCTTTTCCCCCTGACCCTTGACCTTGGTGGGGGAGGGGGGTAGGTACATTGCACATCCCATATCGCATATCGCATTCTACTGGTAGTCCTGGGATTGCAACCCGCAATTAAAAGCCTTTGCCAATCAAAGGCCCATTTACATGCATTTCATGTGGCAGCGTCTGCTTTTATTTCCCTCTCTTTTTCGGCTCCACCCCTTCTCCCACCCAGTCCAGTGCAGGCCACCCACCCATCCGCTGGAACAGTGAGGCTTACAGAACTTCCCTCGTTGGCGCGGTGGGCGGGTTGGTGGAACAGAGACGACGACTGCCAATCAACTTTTTCGATTGCCGGCGGCGTAACTTTTACGGCTTTTTATTGTTATTTTGTATTTTTATGGTTTTTTAACAGTAATAATTAATTTAATGTGCGCTTCGCTGTAGGTAAATCGGCGGCATAACGCTCCCCGATTCATTCGTTTGACGTTGCTGCTTGTTACTTGTTATTTCTACTGTCCGTTTGTTTTGTTTGTTTTGCATTAGCGGGATGTGTAAAAACTGATGTTAAACATTTTGGCCGCTGTTTTTAATACACATTTTGTTTCGTCGTGTGTCACTGCTTTTTTGCCCTTGCAGTCACGGTGAACTTGAAACAATCAAAACCCAGACAGCGCAAAAAAGGAGACAAATGAGAGGTTAAGTGGGGTTGAACAGCAGGATTATCCCGAACATCAGGCCTTTTCAGATTTATCTGTAGCTGCAATTTTTGTACATATGAGTAACACATGTTTGTTAACAGATTATTTAACTTTAAAACATTTTTTTGCGGTGGTTTTATAATTTTGGGAAAATATGATTTCGGAAAGATTTAAAAATAAGGTATTTTAACCTATCATTTTAAGAAGACGTAAATAGATTAGGCAGTCAGTTTTTTTAGTCCTTAGACCTACTTTATTTTATAAAGTTAATTTTTAATACAAATCATATTTCCTCTGGCCAGTTGAAGGGCTTTAATTATTTTCAATATTCGCGTTCCCCAACTAATACTGCCGATTCCCTGGTATTCGCTGATATCTTGGGTTTTAGCTCGACTTCGCCGCCTCCTAATAGATTTCCCCTGTCAATCGAAGGCCTTCGGCGATGGGTCCCCGAGGACCATGGCCGTGAGCTTATTAGCACGCACTTAACCTTGGACCACGGACTTGGCCAAAACGGAGAAATGGAGAGAGCGGGCCATAAATAATTGCAGCTAACAGTTGGTGGCCGCCTCTTGGTTTTCCTTGGCCAGTGAAAAATGACATCAAATTACACTAAAACGAAAGAGCGGAGACAACTTGACACTTATAAATTGTGTCACATACTTCTTGGCGTCCGGCGGGGAAAATTGATCATAACAATGTGGCTTTGGGTCCATAAAAGTTTTCCACCGAAAAACTTTTAATGCGAATCGATAAATCAGAGAGCGTTTAATGTAAATTGTAATTTCTTTTTATTTTCTTTTACCCCGGGGCACCAAGATGTTTGGCCCCTCGTAATCTAGTGTCAACTTGTTGAGTCGTAAATAAAAAGGACTCTGTGCCAGGATATCCTTCTCCTCCACACAGAAAAAAAATTGACAAAATATCAAATTTATATGTGCTGGTCAGTTTAATTCCTAAGATCAAGTTAATCATATCATTTCGTTACGAATAAAGATTATGTTTATCCTATTTTACCATATTTGTTTAAAAAAATACCAAATTTGGTGTTTTAAAACAGTATTTTTATAACTTTTATGAAATGATAAAATATCAAATTGATATGTTTGAATCGTAAATTTGACATTAATCATATCGGCTTTTAATTGATAGGTAAAAGTGACCCGATTTCTTATCGAATTTGTTTTCTGTGCAGGACATCCTTGTCCTTCAGCGACGACACATCCTTGTACTGGGTTTTTGCGTCTGGGACACTCAATTAGCCAGCAGCATTGCGGCCATTGCAGTTGTCAGTCGCTCCGGCTGACAAATTGCATTTGTAACCGCTTGACTTGCAGCAGCAAGGGTAGAAAGCCCGAGCCAAAGATGGGGACGCTATTTTTCTTATTGATTGGTTTTAATTAGAAAAGCCATCAACCGCAAATTAGCCTTGCGATGGCTTCATTAATAAGTTTTTATAGCACTTTTCTTTGCTCTCCCTCAGCCTCCACCTTCAATTACTTTTGTTTTTCTTTGGCACATCCACCATCCACATGAAGCATCAGTGAGCCGAACGGAAAACCGCTCACATAATACGATTTATTTGTTTTGAGAATGTTTTCTTGACTTTTCTCGACTCGTCCTCCCACAAGTTTTCCGTAATTCATTGAAATGCGGCGTTGTTTCTGTTTTTACGCCTCGCCAAATAATTGCAAAAACTTTAGAAAACTTTTTGGCATCTAGAGGAGGAGATTCCCATCCCAGTTCAGAAAGTTCACTTTTAAAGAGCACTAATGAGGCAGAGTTTATTACACTAATGGCATTTGAGAATGGCCTTCTGATAGTCACTCTACCTCTTCGAATTTAATAAACTGAGTATATCGAGCGTCAGGCATTATAATCCCATAATCCCATGCTGGCACTTGGCCCACACATTTCATATTTGCTTTGGTGCCCGGGTCTGTCAGCTAATTGTTACTTGGGCCAACTTCGGAAAACCTAAGCCCCTTGAACGTCCCACTCGCCGGCTTTGGGTTAACTTTTCCCTTTTCCTAAACTTTTCGCCGGTAATTTCATTTAACTAAGCGCCGAGCAGCCTCATCCCTCATCCTCCTTCTGCAGGTGGCTCTTCCTCCCCCGTGGAAATTACGACTGCTGCTGGTGCTACTGCCCTTCAAAGTTTGCGAGTTTATTTTTGCATAATTGCACTGAGACTAAATTAAATGCTCACGCACTGCGAGATGCGAGATCCTCATCCTCGTCGTCAGAGGAACTTTAAGCCGGGCTAAAACTTTCGGCAGCAGACTGTTGGCAGTTGGCAACATAAATAAGTGGCTAATGCTCTGTGGCCAGACGAGTCTGTTCTGTATATGCATTCTGGTGTTCAAAGCCCCCGAAGAACGAAGAAGTAAGTGTGGAAATTTGCGAGTATTTGCAGCCAGTGAGGCAATCCAAATTACAAGGTTGACTTTACGCCAGAAACACGCCTACTTTGTTGTAAATGGGAGTCGGTTCTTGGAGCAAGAAATAGCATACTTTTCAGGGAGTTCGACCAACATCAGAGGTTGATTTGATAGGTTTTCACTCAATACATTATTTAAAATCCAGTGAAATTAATAATGTCAATTCTACCTTATTTCATATCAATATTATTCAAACATATCAATTTGATATTTTATCATACCATATAAATTAGCAAATTTTGAATCTTTTAACAAATAATGGAAAATTCATATCAAAATGACATTGATAACTTGATATTTATATTAAATTGACCAGCTCATATCAATCTGATATTTTGTCAACTTTTTTTTCTGTGTATTTCCATCACAAATGTAAGATAAATGGTTAAATGTCAAGAATATCACGGGTCAAACTATTTCCACGACCTCGACTGTTTGTGAAGTGAGGTAAGGAAAAGCGATGGGCATATTAACCCATTTTCCTTGACTGGTTTTGTTGTTGCTGTTGCTGTTTCACCCGCTTCTTCCCGTTTCCGTTTCCGCTTCTCGAACATTGTTACGTTTTGCACTTGATTTTGACTGCTTCTGACATTTATGCCCTCTCACTACTCACTATTCCCTACTCACCACTGGACTCCCAACTCCATTCTCCATTCCCCGCCAGATGCCTGGCTTTCCACTCAATTTTCTTGTTAGGTTTTATGGCCCTGCCATTATCGACTGGCCGGGGCACTGAGAGAAATGCCTGATATAGCGATTTATTCGGTGTAATGAGCCTTTTGTGTGGTCACTTGGGACTGATTGACTGGAATTCGGCAAGTGAATGCGGGGTATCGCAGATCTCTCACCACATAAACTGATTCATTCCAAGTGTCACGAGTCACGAATCAACAGACGAGAACAACGACGACTGCACTCAATGCAGTTTATTTGCCTTGTTTATGTGGCTGCATTTTATGCATTTCACATTGGAAATATTGTTTTTATGGCTCGTTGGCAGAGCAAATAAAACAGAATTGCCGGCATGACGTTAAACCAAACTAAACCAGGACTGACAGAAGGATGGGGAGTAGCAATCAGTGCTATCACGTTCACAACTCCTTAGTTTTATATATAAAAGAAGTAAATGCACTCGAAATCAAAGTGTTTGTTCCGGAGATGGGAATTAGAAATTCCATTCGAATTGTTATTCATATAGTGCCAATTGAACCCGAATGGAATCCTCAGTCTGTGCTTGTTTGCTCATCATAAATGTTTGCTAACTGAACTCCTTTTTCTTCCGTTTTCCAGGTGGTTCCGACAGCAACAAGGGAAAGAGCAAAAAATGGCGCAAAATATTGCAATTTCCACACATATCGCAATGCATCAACCTGAAAGACAAATTAGGTGAGTGGTTTTGCTTGCCATAACTTTACCCCTTGTATTTATCATCTCTATATACTTTTTTCAACAGACATAAGCTATGGCTACGTGATAGATCAGCAACCCATTGGTCGTGAGCTCTTCCGCCTGTTCTGCGAGAACAAGCGGCCCGTCTACTTTCGCTACATCTCCTTCCTGGAGGAGGTGGTCAAGTAAGTGTGGGAATAAGTGGGAGCAAACCTAGACCTAGACCTCCGGTGCTCTTAGGGTTAACCCATTATTTTCCGCCTTACAGGTACGAGATCGAGTACATCTCGAACCGCATATTCATTGGCCATGACATCGGGCGGCGCTTCCTGGATGTCGAGGCCCAGCTGGAGCTGCGCAACGGCAGCGGTGGCGACGCCCTGGACGCCGAGACGCAGGAGGAGCTGCTGCTCAACAGCAGCAATGCCAATCCAACTGAAACAGCTGAGACTGAACACTGCAACAATACCACCGCCAACAACTGCAACAACATCAACAACAGCAACAGCAACGACATCAATCACAAGAAGCTGGACACGCGCAATCACAACGGCGACGATGCCACCGGGAATGGCAGTGGTCACGGCCACCGGGCGGAGGACGACGACGAGGACGAGGGCGTCAAGTGCCTGGACAGCCATGATGATGCGGAAAAGGGCGGCGGCGGTGACGGTCGAGGAGAAGGAGGCGGAGGCGTTGGTGGCGGCGGAGGATGCGGAAATCCCGACGAACTCGTGCTGGACGTGCTCAACGATGATCTCATTGCGCAAGTGCGTAACAAACTCAACAGTGGCGGCAAGGACATCTTTGCCCAGTGTGTGAATGCGGTGAAGGCGTTCCTGGCCGGCGAGCCCTTCAGGGAGTTTGAGAGCTCTATGTACTTCCACCGGTGGGTTGAGAGATCTTTATTTATTATTACCATTATATCAATCTAGCCTTGTCCGTATGTCTGTCTGTCCGTTTGTCCGTCCGTATGATTGCTGAGATCTCGGAAACTATAAAAGATTTCAGAAAAGTTTAAGTGCAATGTTGTTGTGCTTATTTACTTCTATCGAAATGTAGAAGATATTTTTCGAATCCGACCATTCACAAAAACGTTATGAGCAAATAATGTAATTCAAGCAGTGCAAGCAGTCGCTTTGCTGCGTTCTCTCTTGTTTTTATATTTGGATAGTTTTTGTGACTTTTTCGATATCTTAAAAATTGTTTATTTATATGATGATTCCATACACCATTTCAACTTTCTATTATATCAAAAGAAATGGTTAACAGAATAAACTAGTTTTAGAAATAGCTTATTCCTGTAAAAACGTTTAGTACCAGGCGTTTGTCATAATCTTTAAGTCAATAATAATGCTTATTACTGGCATAAGCCCACTTTTCAACTGCAGAGATGGAAATTCCCAGAAAAGCTCTTAATGTTTTCCCTGTTCTCCTTTTCCTTTTCCCCGACTCGCAGATACTTGCAGTGGAAGTGGCTGGAGGCGCAGCCAATCACCTATAAAACGTTTCGCATGTACCGGGTGCTGGGCAAGGGCGGCTTCGGCGAGGTGTGCGCCTGTCAGGTAAGCCAACAGGAAAATCGCCACCTGTGGCCACCTGACCTGGTTTTCACACCTCCCTTTTCCCTCTCCTCAGGTGCGGGCCACTGGGAAAATGTACGCGTGCAAAAAGCTGGAGAAGAAGCGCATCAAGAAGCGCAAGGGCGAGTCGATGGTGTTAATCGAGAAGCAGATACTGCAGAAAATCAACTCGCCGTTCGTGGTCAATCTGGCCTACGCGTACGAGACAAAGGACGCCCTCTGCCTGGTGCTGACCATAATGAATGGTGGGTGTTATCCAGTTACCTTTTGAGTTCTTGGGCTCTCCAGCTCAATATGCAGTCCATACAGCTGTCGTTGGGCAGCCAGTTAGGGTTAATTAAGTGCTGGGACTCTCTTTATCGGTTAATCCAGTTAGTTTTCCTTTTTTCCATCCAACGGAATGGCCAGTGTCCTTCGCTGCCAATTATCTGACTGTCCGGCATTTGCATGCATTCATTAAAATGATAACAAATGCATGTGTAATCCCGGCGATGATTGAGTTTGCAATTTTAATTAAATTCCTGGCATTCAGCTGGCTGGCATTCAGCTGTCCGTTCTGTCCGTTTTGTCCGTTGTGTCCGTCAATTCACGACCTAATTGAATTTGAATACAAAAGCAAGTCAGAGCTACCAGGACCTGTCATTGTTCGTAGAAAGACAATCAATGTGCTCTTCCTTTGCAGGCGGCGATTTGAAATTCCACATCTACAACATGGGCGGCGATCCGGGCTTCGAACTGGAGCGGGCCCGCTTCTATGCCGCCGAGGTGGCCTGCGGACTGCAGCACCTGCACAAGCAGGGCATCGTCTACCGGGACTGCAAGCCGGAGAACATCCTGCTCGACGATCACGGCCATGTGCGCATCTCGGATTTGGGACTGGCCGTTGAGATTCCGGAGGGCGATATGGTGCGCGGTCGGGTGGGCACAGTGGGTGAGTAGATTGAATTGATTGTCCCTAGCTACGTTGCTTTATTTAATACTCCCCCTGCTCTGCTTTTTAGGCTACATGGCCCCCGAGGTCATCGACAACGAGAAGTACGCCTTCTCGCCCGACTGGTTCAGCTTCGGCTGCCTGCTATACGAGATGATCGAGGGCCAGGCGCCGTTCCGGATGCGCAAGGAGAAGGTCAAGCGCGAGGAGGTGGACAGGCGCGTCAAGGTGGGTCAAAGCCATCCGTATTCATCATTACCCCGATTTAATATCTTCTCGTTAACCCAACAGGAGGATCCCGAAAAGTATTCAAGCAAGTTCAATGATGAAGCCAAATCAATGTGCCAACAGCTGTTAGCTAAATCGATAAAGCAGCGCCTGGGCTGCCGCAACGGACGCATGGGCGGGCAGGACGTGATGGCCCACCCCTTCTTCCACTCCACCCAACTCAACTGGCGTCGCCTGGAGGCTGGCATGCTGGAGCCACCCTTTGTGCCAGACGTGAGTAGAAGGCTCATTTGCATATTGGAAATGCCTGTTTGCAACGTTGACTCTAATCGCTTTTCCATCCTCCGCAGCCGCACGCCGTTTACGCCAAAGATGTGCTCGATATTGAACAGTTCTCGACGGTGAAGGGCGTCAATATCGACGAGTCCGACACGAACTTCTATACGAAATTCAACACGGGCTCCGTGTCCATCTCCTGGCAGAACGAGATGATGGAGACCGAGTGCTTTCGGGAGCTGAACGTCTTCGGGCCCGAGGAGTGTCCCACGCCGGACTTGCAGATCAATGCGGCGCCCGAACCGGACAAGGCGGGCTGTTTTCCCTTCCGCCGGAAGGTGGGTTTTAGTTGATCTATAAAGGAGTTGCTGTAATAACTTTAAATCTCTCTCTTCAGAAGAAGCAGCCGGCTCGCACTCAGCCCATTCCCATTCCCGAGCATCTGCTTACCACTAGTCACAGCGTGTCCTCCACGACGGTCGAGAGCTGATAGCATAGACCACTCGAGGATGCCTCCAAGCGGACGCCTGACCCAGACGTCGACACATAGCACAAATTGCGCACAGAAGAACATCGCAGCACAACCTAATTACAAAGCAAAACCAAAACCGATATCGGTTTCTCCCTCAGTTGACGCGCAAAAGCATTTTTGAAATTGTATTTTTACATCAAATTTTCTAATGAAATTGCAAGATGATTTCCACCCCCACACATAACGTATATTTATAAATGTTTCCAAAAGACTCCGAGCAGAAACACACATTAAGCACACATTAGAGCGTTAATTAATTGAAATCGTGGTAGCATGAATACCACTCACTATAAGGCCGTCAGTTTGTCACAGCACCCAAAATAATGTTACTTAAATACGAGCGCTATTTGAATATCTAACTGATCATCTATGACTTGGATCACCGGAGGCAGGACAGGAGCAGGAGCAGGAGCACCACTATGTAGACGGCGGATGTAATGTGTAATTTTTGTATAGTAGTTTGTGTGTGCTCAACGGACCGCGTTGGAAGATAGATGTTCTAGTTAGCATTTGTAAGTTAAGAAAATGACATGAATACTCGAAAACTTGAATGCATTTTAAACAAATACTTAACACATGCTACTACTATATGGTACGTGCATATAGATACGATACGATACTACAAGCGTACAACCTAAACAGATTGTAAATTTTAAACCTACGATTATTTATAAACGACTCCTAAGTTTTATTGCCGCACACTTTTGCTAAGCTTTTCATATTGTTCTTTGACCTTTTCTGTTGCCTAAGTTTAAGTTCAGAGGTTCTTTTCGTCGGAGGAGGAGAACGTTATTACTGATATTCGTTTAGTCACGCAATAAATTAACAGCAAGTTATAAGCTAACTAATGCTAATCCCTTGAGATATCGATGTCAGCTAGTGTCTAAGTTCTGTGTAAACGTAGCGTAGGCATTTTGTAATTAGCAACAAAGAAAATACGAAAACAAAGGAAACCAATTGGAGAATTTATTATGTTAATATGGAAATTTGATTATGACTATTGAAGACGACGTTGCCGCGCCACTTTGGCCGGCCTGTCTTAGTTCCAATTCACTTGATTTAGGCACCACTAGTAAATTGTAAGGCATATAGATTGAACAACTACTACCAGCACAAAACCAACAACCCGCAACCGCAGAAAGCCGCAGACAAACGCCATCAAATCAGCCCCGAATCTAATTCAGCACTACAAACTACATAAGTAAACCAAACTGAGCAAGCGCCGAAATATTTATCTCTAGCAATTAAAGGCATATTTATAGAGCATCGTAAATACCAGATAAACATACATAAATAAATCTATTCTGTAAGCGAGAAGATAATGATGCAAAACGCAGAGTCAAGAGAGAACATTGAAAAACAATAAACGTATTACTACCAAGTTGAGTGTTTTTATTTGTATATTTGGGGGTTCTCTTGTAATTAAATTTCAAATTTCCCGGTTTTGCTATAAAATCGTCCTATAGGAGTTTTGCGCGGGAAAAATCCGGCCTATCGATCTATCGCAAGAGCGTAAGGGACGTAACGATTCGACCAGGGAAGACTCAAAAGGCGCCTATCGACACTATCGAAAATTGGCACCAAACAAAACAGCTTTTCGGATTGTTTTTGCAATGGAGAGGTTCTTCTTCAAAAACCAGTCCTGCGAGTGGTCCATCGAGACCAACTCAAGCTTGAATGCTCAGGACTTGGCCTCACTGATCCGGGAGTGCCAGACTCCCACTTCTACTGCGCGACCACCCAAAAGGAAGATGCGATTCTCGGCCAGTGACAGCTCCAGATTCTCCTTTGGGAACACGAAGAAGATCCCCAGGAAGGCCGACAACGGGGACTCCGACTCGGACTCCACCGTGACCAGCCAGCGGCAGTCGCTGGAGTACACCTGTGGGGACAAGAGGCATCAGAAAACGGTCCTGCACAAGAAGCGGCTCCAGGGCAGCGGACCAGAGGACCCCTTGGAGTGCATCATATGCAACTCCACTTACTATAGCAAGCAGGCCTTCGAGAAGCACCTCCAAACCTCGCGCCACGTCAGCAAGGTGGCCGAAAAGCAGAAAGAGCTGCTGCTCGTCAGCCAAACTTGAAACCGCAAGTACCTGGGCAGTAGCGAGGAGGACAAACAGGCGGCCGCCGACCTCCTGGAAGCCATGGACGATGTGATTCCAAAATCAATCAATACAATGTAATAAAATACATTATTATCATTATATTATCATAAATATAAACTTGAATTTTCGGTTTAAATATTTATCAATTTCCTGATTTATTTCCGGTTCCGGAAGTGGGGAAAAAAGTGCGGTACACGGTGATTATTTCAAGTTAGATAACGAAAATTACTTTTCATACTTTTGGGCTGGCGATGGTTGGAAATGCCGATCGTGCTAAAGTCGTGACACGAACCAAGGAAATCAATAAGTTGCCCATCTCTAGTTCAGCTGGAAGTTCTAAACTAACGGTTGTTTACACGCTCGCTTCCCATAGGCCGACCAATCAGATCGCGCCGTGAAAAGAGAAATCTGAAAACCCAGCATCCACCTACGGCTTTTTCTGTTCGCCTGGTATCAGAAATCAGGAAATTTGTCTTGAAACGCCAAATTCCAGGTCTTCGATCGATATTGTGCCGACTTGTGGCCCGTTTCGTCGGGCCAAACGAGAGATTTCCCAATTTGAAGTACCAGGCGCCCAGAACTTTTAGTAGGTCGCTGCGCAATTTTGAGAACGCAGCCCAAGTAACGGTTGTTTCCCATGGAAGTTTGCCTGGAAGGGCAGCCATCTTGAAAAAGTGCCGTTATGTGAGCAAAGTGAGAATTTCAGCAGCGACCTCCTACTTTTTCTGTGCGCCTGGTGTCGAAAATGGGGACATTTGCGATGAAACGCTCAAGTTGTGGCCATTTTCGACTTTCTTAATTCGAACAAATTGGGAAAATCTACTAACTGCAAATCTCCTAAGGCAACGTTTTAGCAGCTTTGCATGTGTGAGGATCAGTGTGTGTGAATTTTGTTGGCCACCCAAAAGTATGATATGCTTTTGAATTTTTTTTATTGACCACAACCATTTACACTCTAAAAAATTTGGTCTTATAAATCTACATTAAAATATAAGTTTAAATCTACACAAAATCAAATCTTAAACCACAAGGGCTTGCGCCGGCAGTTGAAGATCCTGGTCGTTTGGTGCACGCCCGTGTAATCCAGGAGGCACTCGGCCCCATTGTTCTCGAAGGAGATCTCGCCCAGCTTGTACTCCGGATTGAGGGCCACCCGCAGGATGTAGCGTCGGTTGACCGGAACCCGGGTCACATCCACCCACTGGCAGTCCAGGACGTCCGTGTAGGTGTCGGCACAGCCCACGGAGATGCCTGTAAGGATTGGGGAGGAATTAGCAAGGATTCCCTTTTGAGATACCCACTTTCAACTCACCCTGAGTGGTGTTGCCACAGGTGTACTTCGCCCGCACTCCCGGCGTGCAGTCCGTGTCCATCAGGCAGAAGGAGGCCTTGTGCCCCTGGGCCACTTTCCTGTACTTCAAATCATAAACATCGAAGGTGGCGAAGACATTCATACTGTGGTAGTGCCTGTGGCACTGGTGCCACACCCAATCCTTGTAGTTGGCATACGGACTCACGTCCGCCGTGCCCACATTGGAGGCCTTCACGGAGAAGCGCAGCAGAATCCTGGCGGCATGCGGATTGGTCCTGCGGATCTCGTAGGCGTCGGCCGACACGCAGTGCTCCTCCATGGCGCAGGTGAGTCGCGACATGGGCACTGCCTCCAGTCGGGCTGTCCTCTCGATCTCCGCCAGCCCAATCTCCAGATCCGCCGAGTGGCTCACACAGGCCACCGTGGTGACATTATGGTTCCGGGCATTGCAGCGGTTCGGGTAGTGCGACTCCCGGATGCACTCGGCCAGGCGGCGCTCCGTGCCCCGGCACAGCGTGCCCACCATAGCCCACGGATGCTTCCGGCTGTCCCCGTGCTCCGTGCCCTGCGACGCCTTCGAGGCGTAGCCCAATCCCAGCTGTCTGCACACCACATTCGCCTCCCGCATGCTCCAGGTGGTGCTGCAGATGGTGCCCCACGAGCGGCCAAAGTCGAAGCTCACCTCCACGCGTCCCTCGCGGAGCACCTGAATCCCCGCGGAGGCGGGCTTGCTGCTGGCCAGGCGCACCATCATGTTGCGGTAGTTGTTCTCCACGTTCAGCCCACTGTTGTTGGCCCATCCCTGGCCCAGGCCAGCTAGGAGCACCACCAGCCATGTCAACGAAGCCATAGCCTTCTGGTGGAGCCTACCCGCCTCCCAAGCAGTTTTAAAGTCAGCGGAAACAATGCCGCTATAAAGCAACAACTGGCAACGAATGGGGCTACATATGTAGGAGGTATATTGTGCGTTGTGTGTGCTCCCCAGCGGATCGACCCACATCTGCTTGGCACGGGGGAACACCTTTTTGTATACAAAGCTCAGCTGGCAAAATGCCTATTCCGAGCGCGCGCGTGAGTGCTCTTGTTTTCTGTTTTTTTGCGATTTTTTGGGGCTATTGGTATGGAGTGCATTCGTAAACAACTATTCCTGCGCGCCTGTTACGACTCGAGCAGCTTGGCGATGGCCTCTTTCAGTTCCGCCGGCTTGAAGACGCCGCGTTCTGTGATGATCCCGGTGATCAGCGAGGCGGGGGTCACATCAAAGGCGGGATTCCAGCAGTTGATGCCCGGCGCAGCAATGCGGTGCTCGCCCACGTGGGTCATTTCCCGGTCGGGTCGCTCCTCGATGATGATGTGGTCGCCACTGGGGATTTCCAGGTCGATGGAGGTCAGCGGGGCGGCCACGTAGAAGGGCACGCCGTGGTGCTTGGCCACTACGGCGATCTGGTAGGTGCCAATCTTGTTCGCCGTGTCGCCATTGGAAGCCACCTGCGGGAAAAGGCACAACAATTAATAGGTGTTACTTAAGAGTTTTCATTTTTAAGTTAAATAATTGCTGGTTTTATTTCTTCCTAAATTTCTTAAATAGCTTTGTGTACATTTAATGTCTTGGAAACCCTTTAAATTAATTGCATTTAATAATACTTCTTTGAATCATAAAAAAATCGTTGAAAAATTAAATTTTTCAAAATAAAAGTATACTTTTATTGGCATCGTTGAACACTATTTAAACTCTAAAAACAAAATTAATGGGTGTTACTTAAAAGTTTTAATTTTTGAGTTAAATAATCGATAGTTTTAATTCTTCTTAAATTTCCTAAATAGCATTGTGTACATTTAATGTCTTTAAATTAGTTGCTTTTAATAATAGTTTTTAAAATTATACAAAATTGTTTAAAAATTACATTTTTCAAACCATTTAAACCCTAAGAAATGAAGCCCATTCAAATTCTAGACAATTGTGAAATCCTGACGGAAATATGTAAGCAATTTTAAGTGGCATCCAAGTTGGCCCAAGGTGAAAATAATAAATTAGGAACTCACTGACAAGAATGGGACACGAAATACTACACATGCCGAACCAACAGAATCGACTGACCCTAATTAGAGACCGCGTTATTTACTCACCCGATCTGCTCCCACCACCACGGCGGCCACATTCTTGGCCCGCAGCAGAGCGGCCACCATGCTGTCCAAAACCAGAGTGGCGGGGAATTTCTCGTGGACCAGTTCGTAGGCTGTGAGGCGGGCTCCCTGGTTATACGGACGGGTCTCTGTGCAGTAAACGTGCTCTGGAAAGGGAAAAGGTAAAAATTAGTAATCTGTATTATCAGTAAATCACTCTTTTTCAGTGCCCACCCAGCTTTCCCAGCTCGCCCAGCTGACGGACCACTCCCAGCGCAGTTCCGTAGCCGGCGGTGGCCAGGGAGCCCGTGTTGCAGTGGGTCAGCACCCGGACGGCGCCCGAAGATCCCGGCGGAGCTCCACCCGACTCCGACACGCCCTGCAGAATCGCCTTGGCGCCATGTGCTCCAATAGCGCGGTTGTCGGCAATGTCTTTCTTCAGCATCGCCTCGGTGGCACTCAGGAATCTACAAAGAAACTTGGATTAGTTGGGTTTTTCTGAAATATTCGGTATAGATGATATAGATTACCTTTGCTTCATTTCGGCCAGGTCAACCGTATCATCCTTGTCTAGATCATTGGCCAGGGTGATGAGCTCGTCGGCGGCAATCTTCATGTTGACTGCCGTGGGTCGAGCGGAAACCAGGTAGTTGAGCTTGCCCTCGATCTCCTGCCGCAGCGATTTCTTGCTGCCAAACTCCTCCGGATTGATTTCCACGGCCAGGGAGAGACAGCCCACGATGGCGATGGCGGGAGCACCTCGCACCTATAAAGATAAATAAAATCAAGTATTTAAATTTAGTAATCGTGGTCATAAAAAATCCATTATAAGCACACAGAAAAAAAAAACATTTACATAAGATCAGATTGATATGTGCAGATCAATTTTATATTTTTTAAGATTAAGCTATTCATATGAAAATGATATGAATATGTTATAAAATGAATATCCGGCTGTAACCAGGACAACGCAAATATAATACCTGTTAATATAATTAAGAAATCGCCAGAAATCATCTTGATGTTCTTAAATGTTTTCTGAGCACACCCAATCAAGATGTGAAGACAAAACATTTCGAGAATTCAGATTGTCATGTTGTTGTCATGTCACCAATGTTATAATGGGGCTAGGCCACTGAACAATTTGGGTACTATATTTTCATTATACAGAACCAAGAGCGGAGGAGGAGGAGAGCACAGAGATTAGGGGTTGGCCAGCCTATCTGGGCTTATCAGGTGACGATGCAAAAGGCGGGAGTAAATAGTTTACATTGTATAATTCCGAGGGCTCCACGTGATAAGGCGCGTGCTCCTGGGTTAAACGACCATCATCTTGGCCATCGTAAGGGGGCATTAGCCCAGTAAGAGCCGATCGCCGAGTGACGCGCAAGGAGTAGTTTTATTTTTGGCAAGCGTTTTAAATTTTTAATTTCAATTATATTATTTATAGACAGACGACAAGCGACAACCGACAGGCGAGCGATCATGGCGCAGATTAAGAAATGTACCAATAAGAATTTTAATGGCATTAAATGCCATTCCGTGGGGGTATTTTAATGGTAATGGGGATGGGACCTATAAGGTCTATTACCTGCATTTTGTTGATGACCTTCCAGCCATCCTCCACGCCGCGAACCACCAGGTATTTGGATTGTCCCGGCAGCAGCAGCTGGTCGAGGATCTCCAGGCTGCCCCGCGAGTATTTGATCGACTGCAGGCTCATCTTTCTGGGCTTTTATCCTGTCCTGTAACTGGAAAGGAAAATCTTCGATTAATTCGTGAAATAGATATTTTTAAGAGACGGCCCACACTTTCGGCTGCCAATGGAGCGCAGCCCGCGAATCGCTGGCAATTTATCAGTTATTAATCAACGGCAATCGCTGGGGTCTCGTTTTTATTCTCTGTTTTTGGTTCCTTAGCTTTCGGCGTCTGAGAAGCGAATGGATCAATGAGCTGAACTGAACTGAAAACCCCGAGGAACCGAGCGCCACGAGCGAAAGTGCCGAGAACGACGCCGGAAGAGCAGACGGTACACTCAGAAAAATTTGTTCTTAATCTTTAAAAGCTGATACATTAAAAGGAAACAGGTTTACAAATTATTCAAATTATTAACATATGAAAAGAAGATAGGAGAGGTCGTTAAAAAAACAATTATGTTAAATTAATTCAAACTGATTAAATTAAATTTACATTTTGTATACATTACATTCAGAATTCTTAATAGATTTAAATTTTTCTTAAGTTTTGGACTTTTTGAATTTAAAGAGGTTTCTGTAAGCACGATTTTTGGTTCGAATTTGATTACAAGAGATTTCTGTGACTAATTGACTTTAAAGAATTTATGTAGATTTTTTTGTGGCACCGCTTTTCCTCAGTGTACTTTTCCGAGGGGGCGTGGCAGGCGGAGGGCTTCGGCCGCGACATCGACGATTAATTCAAGTTGACAAGATCGGCTGTCGCTGCTGTTCCGCTGCCTCCGTCTCTGCCGATCCTCTGCCGCCGCCTTTCCCCAGTTGATGAGCACCGATTTCCCTGTTGACAAGTGTAATTCGGCTAGAAATTAATCGTGCGCTTATCTGTCGGCCGGTTTTCTTGGTTATTGGGCAATTTTGAGAGTGTCTTATTAATGCGACTGCAATTAGTTGGGCTGCACCCGGGTGACAGCGACTCGTCCGCTGGTCCTGTGCCAATAAAATAAATCGACGGATGGAATGCGAGGGGCCTTTCCTCAGGGGGCAGTGGTCCTATCATCTCTATCATTTAACGCCTGTTGATAAACTGAAGCAACTGGTGGTTGCCCTGCTACCGTGGTAACCTCACCCACCCGATGAGACGATGAGACACCGAAGGCCAAGTGGGTTCTGCAGCTTCTGGGGATCGGAATTTCGGGACACGGGAATTATCGCTGTTATCGCATCAAATCAACACGCGCACGTTTTTCCAACTAGGTTTATTTATACTCTTGATTTCCGAATGCGGTTGCGGCGAGTGTGGCATCCTCTTCCTACAGAAAAATACCAAAGGTCGGCTTGTTATACCCTTACAGAGAGTATTATGATTTCAGTCAGAAGTTTGCAACGCAGTGAAGGAAACGTTTCCGACCCCATAAAGTATAGCCTTGTCCGTCTTCCCGTCAGTCTGTCCGCCAGTTTGTCCGTCAGTCTGTTCGTCCGTCTGTCCGCCAGTTTCTACGCAAACTAGTCTCTCAGTTTTAAAGCTATCGGGCTAAAATATTCACAAAAGTCATCTATCTATTGCAGGTTGTATATAGCTCCCATAGGAATAATCGGAAAAAAATTATTACCTTCTATTTTTGGGCATAATATTTTTTTTATATTTCTGAATTTTTCCATAATTTTTTTAACATAAAATCTCCTACGACTTAAAAATAACATTTTTTGAATTAAAGGGTATACAAACTTCGACTTGTCCGAAGCTAGCTTTTTTTTCTTGTTGTTCTAGCTATTTTTTTGGTATTTTCAGCTATTTCTTTGAATCTAAAGTCACCACACAACGTGGGTGAACCTGAACTGCCGCCATTAAACGCCAGAGGTCGCCAGTCGAGCGGCCAATTCAAACTCAGCAAGCTCTTGCTTTTACTTTTCAAATGTTTTAAAGTTCTACATTATATAGTTATAAAATCAATCATGAGCAAAGTCATTGGATCGTCGCTCTACCGCCTGGTGCCCTCGAAAACCCTGTTCATGCTGTGCGATGTCCAGGAAAAGTTCAAGCCGGCGATACCGCTTCTGAGTTCGCTCATCGAAAACACTGCCAAACTGGTGAGGCAGCTAATAGGTTGACAGGATAAGGGCTTGCGGCTGCTAATAGATTCCACATTCCAGCTGGCCGCCGGCAAGGTCTTCCAAGTGCCCCTCGTGGTCACCGAGCAGTATCCCGAGAAGCTGGGCAAGACCGTTTGCGAGTTGGACGTGAAACATGCCTGTGCGAATGTGGCGAAGACCAAGTTTTCCATGCTGGTGGAGCCGGTGCGCAAGAATATGACTGATATCTTTGGAGGCAAGCCGAAAACGGCGGTGTTATTTGGACTCGAGGTGGGTTATTATATACACAGAAAACAAATTCGATATAAAATTTACCTTTTTTTTTTTTCCCTTTCAAATAGGGTAATTTCTACCTTATTAATGTCAAAATTATGTTATAAACATATCAAATTGATATTTTACACACCATATAAAATACCCAATTTACTATTTTTTTAAACAAATAATGTAAATTAAGATAGACATAATCTTTATACATATTAAATTGATATCAAGATGAATATAAAATTGACCAGCACATATCAATCTGATATTTTGTTAATTTTTTTCTGTGAGTAATTCCCTTTCTCCCCCTTTGTAGACCCATGTGTGCATTGAGCAGACAGCCTTTGACCTGGTGAATGAACAGATTGACGTCTGGTTGGTGGCCGACTGCTGTGCCTCCCGTTTAAATCAGGATCGTGATCTGGCCTTGGAGCGACTGCGGCACATAGGGTGCAACATTTCCACCTCCGAAAGTGTGATATTCAATCTGCTGGGGGACAAGGACAACAAGTCCTTCAAGGAGATAGCTCCGCTGGTGAAGAAGGTCTCTGCGGATATGCAACTTTGGCGTCCCTCTAAGAATTAAAAACCAGGCGGCTCGCTTTCAAGTCTCTCAAACAGCAAAGTAAAGTAAACTATCCTTCTAGCTTATATGCATATGTAAGTATTTCCCGGGGGGAAATGGGAATTATGAGAACGAGAATTATGAGAGAAGGACCCACCGGTAGGGCCGGCTCCCTGTCCTCGTCAACTCATAAACATCTCGGCCAAGTGGACAGCTGAATGGAGCAGCATTTGGTATTTGGTGCCAGCCCCTTTTTGCCTAAGCGGCGCCTTATAAGAACCATCTTATACCATCCCATCCCATCGATAGAAACAGCAGCAGTGCTGCCAATTTATGCAATGACTTTGACTTGGAGGAGCCTCCGCTTTGGAGCCTGGAATTGGCTGGCGGGGCAGTTAAATTTTATGATGCAATCGCGACAATCTCCAGCGCCCATCTAGCCATCTTCCCATCTTCCATCGGCGCTGCAGGCAGTCATGCCAGAGATCCTATCCTGGCCAAGTGATGGTGACAATGTAGGCAGGCGTCTGATTGACTCATAACAGGCCACGCAAACATCGCGATCTTGATCGCCATTTGCATGCCGAGGAGGGAAGTTAGGGATCGGATCGGAGGATCGGAGGATCCGCCGCCTCCGGCAGCTGGCAATTTATTTGCCCAGCCAGTCTCGCCATGCTAACCTCTAAGCCTCTAAACCACTCCAAAGCACAACTGATGGCGATGGCATCTTGGCACGCGATAAGTCAACAACTTATCTGAGTCCCCGAGAGATCTGTGATCCGTCCAATTAGGCATGCCCCTCAGTGGCTCGTTGTTCCTAAGCGGGAAAAGTGAATTGGGCTAACGGCAATGTGCGTAAGCCTTTTTTCCCGCCCAGCGAAGCCATAAATTTCTGGCCTTGGAACTGGTTTTCATGTGTTTTCATACGCAGTGCCAACCTCACACTTGGCATATTAATAAATTCAGTTTTCCTTTTTCTGCTGGAAATGCTGTAAGTGCTAAAAAAAAAGATGATAAATCTGTGAAATACCCCAGTGCGGTGTGCAAATGAACACGGCTCCATTTCCATTTCCACGTCCGATGATCAGCGATCTGTGATCCTCGGCAGCAGCTGTAAGCTGTGGCTGCCGTGGAGAATCGATGAGAGATTGGGAATTTATGTGCTGGCAGCCGGGCAAGTGGCAACTGTGGACACGCTCATAGATCAAATCAAGCCACGGAACCCAGAGGAAACCGCTTAAATGGAAGTTTCGCTGGCCTGGCCATAAACAAACAGGAATTAGGCGAAAACCCAATCCCTAAAATTAAGAAATTTATCAAGCGAACGCCGGGTCAGCAACTAGAGTCCAGAGTCCAGAGGCCTCCTCCATCACAAGTTAATCCCCCATTTGAATGGAGCATCGAGCATTGAACATTGAACATTGAACATTGAACATTGAACATTGAAATTCCTGCAGATCCGTTGACAAATGTGAGAATCCCAGGCGGCGCCTTCAAAGCGGCTCACTCGAATGCTCGAATGCAGTTTGCTCACTCAGATTGCATAATTTATGGAGCCGCCTGCCCAAATTAGCCAAAATCTGCTGTTTGCTGGCTGCTCCCCCTTTAATGTTTAATGAGACATCTAATGAAGGATCGCATCGCTTGCATTTCCCACACTCTGTAATGGCCTGCACTTGGGTGTCTCTTTCTCGTACTTCCCAGGCCAAACAATTAGTGCAATCATTTCTCTATGCTAATTATTCGTTTGTTCTTTAAAATACCGCTCTTTCCGAAAGGGGGCGTGGCAGCCGGCGGTCATAGGGAAAATTCTGTTTCGGTTTCCGCCTTCCAGTTTTGAGTTTTGAGTCTCCAGTTTGAGTTTGAGTCTTGGCCCCACGTCACCTGTTAACCCACAAAATGCATGTGGCCAGTGACCAGCAATTAGCCGAATGAGATATGTATCTCCGGCCGCTAAGTGGCCGCGAGTACGTCTAATTAGCATATATCGTATAGCATATGCCCCACAATGTATCTGCATCGGTATTCCTTTTCTGGGGGCGTGGCCATGGGTGTGAGATGCCCTGGGCTCACGTATTAATTAGGCCCGATTATGATTGCCGGTCTCGAAGCAGCGGCGATAATCGTCCGCTAACAAGAAGCCGGGAATTGGGAATTGAAAATTGGGAATCGGAATCGGGAAATGCGTGTGGAAGAGCAGAGCACATTGCCCCAATCCAATCAAAGATGCGGATGGGCCCAGGTAAATCTGGCATTCGTGATAATTCACTTAGCTCGTCTGATTGTAATTCTGGGGTCTTCTTACCGAATTCTTATGGTTTTGGCTTGGACGACCTCGTAAACATGAAATTATCTTTCGGTTTAACAAGAATTTTCGGATTACATCGTACTATGGCATAACGGTAAATGAATGCTTCAGTTTTTTAATACCAATCACAGCCAAAATGCGCGGTTTTCGTAACAATTTATTTTAAGCCATTTAGAGTAATTTCTATAGTGATTTTTCACTAAAAGAATTAGTGATTTATACGGCAGATAACAGCAGATTAGATATTAAAATATATATATTTATATATTTCACTTTCCGGATAATTAAAAAAAATTAATATTTCGGCCCATTTTCACATTTTTTTATAAGGGGTAACATCATAATTTTTTGCGAAAAATGGTCAAAAATAAAAATGTTCAGCTTTGAATGTCAATCGGTAGGAAATTTTATTACGAATTCAACAAGGTATGACACTCCATATTTGAATTCTCTATTACAAATGTTACCCAATTTCTATTGACTTTGAGTTTTCATAATACATGGGTATTAGATCAATCAAATAAAAACACTTAACGAGAAAAACAGTAGACGCACTCAACATACAAAAGTTCATATCAACATTTGACAAAAATTATTACACTCGTCATTAAATAGACTTTCAATATTGTCTCATTCGGCCCGCCCTAGCAAACTATTCCAGCCTTTTTCCCTTTACAGGCATTTTCTATTGCAGCGTGACGAATGAAAAAGATTAGAAAGTCTATTTAATGACGAGTGTAATAATTTTTCGACAAATGTTGATATCAGAACTTTGTATGTTGAAGGTGCGGTCGTCACTAGTTTTTACCTCGTTAAGAGGTGTTTTTATTTGATATCAGAAGTTTTTGTTTGTTTACATTTGCTCTCATAGGAGCTAATATATACATTTAAATTTAAATTGGTCAATCATAATTTTTAAACTATTGTATTTTAACAAATTAAGTTAAAAAGGCGTTGAAGTATTTCAAAATACCTTTAAACAAGGTATAGCACATGTCTGTACCTTTAGTAGTATAGAACTTACGAACTAACGAAATTTAGCTATTTTTAGCTTTTTCCCGCTAAAGTAGCGGCTTTTTCCAAAAGTCGTAGAACAAAAGATTCCTATATGGAACTCTTAAGTGCAAATTTACTGATTCCATGACCCTAAAATACAGTTCGGATACCCTCCCACAAAATTCAATAGCGTTAATTGTTCAAGCTGGCAAAAGTGGCTATTTTCGTATAAAAATAACTTTTAAACGTGACTTTTTACAGTAATGTGTTATATACCAAAATTTAAGGAATCTCAAGGGCTATACAGTTTATAGTTTTCAAGAAAATCGTTAGAGCCGTTTTTGAGAAAAATAAAAAAAAGCTAAAAAAAAGTTTTAAAAAATTGTCTTTTGTTCATATCTTTTTAATTATTACATTTACACAAATTGCATATAGAAGGCGTTTATAGCATTTAAAAATACCTTTCAAACAAGATGCAGCACAAGTCTGTAGCTTTAGTAGTAAAGAAGTTACTGCTTTTAGCTATTTATAGCTGTTTTCCCGCTAAACTAGCGGTAGTGGTAGAACAAAAGTTTTTTATATCGATGTAATGAACCTCATATTAAATTTTCAAAACTTAAGAAACATGTTTTGGACAAACTGACAAACTGACAAACTGACAAACTGACAAACTGACAAACAGAATTAAATTTTCATTTTGGGAAGAAGAAGGAAATCTTATTTTGGCTATAACTTTTGAACGGAGCGTCGGATTTTGACAAATGACCCCTCATTCGACGGGTATTTTCAAAAGGAATACAACTAAAACATTGCGAGGGGGCATTTATCCCCACCGGCCCCAACAGCTCCAAATTTCGAAATTTTCATTTTTCACTTTCACCGCTCTCTCTCCCAAGCCAATTGATTTTCTTAAAGTCTTGGTATGCAATCCTTAGTTATTGCAATACCTTTCGATTGGTGTATCATTCATTATGATCGGACCATCACACTAGATTTTCATTTCTTCGTGTATATATAGTAGTCGCCTTCGCACACTCTCCTGGTGCGCTTCGTCACTACATGGACTGCCGTCCATAGTGATAGTTTTCTCGCAGTGCCTCCAACTGCTCCTCTGGCAATCGAATGGTCAGGCAGGGACAATGGGTCAATGGTGGGCCAGGTTGGTTAGGTTGGCCAGTCTGGCCGCCTGTCGTTGATAAAGATCGCCGCTGTTTATTTGCCGCTTGTCCGATCGCTCAAACTAGATCAAACGACTGGAGATGGAGATATGAATGCTGTTTACACCGTGTCTCCGAATGTTTTCTCTCAATCCCAGTGCTATCTTCACTTTTATCAAACAATGCCGCAGCGGCCACAATGGCGCGACATTTGAAAAGCAGTGAAAGGTGGCCGATGGCCAGTGTTTTTTGGCTGCGGTTGCTGTTTCTGTTTCTGGCTGCTCTGCTCCACTTGGAGCCTGGAAGAAGAACAGAAACAGTCATAGCGGCAGTCATATATGTAACTAATTTGCTTAAAAGCGGGCACAATTGGAGGCCACTTCGCCTGAATAGTTGGCTCTGCTTGGCCCACAAAAGTCGCCGAAAAAGATTTACACAAATTTATGCTGGACACTCGGACCGGCGAGCCGAGTATTTTATTTATATATGGGCAATTGGCCAACAAAGGCGGCCGAGTCCGACACATTTGCGTGCTTTATGGTCGAGAAGCCATAGACCCTCTCTTTTTACCCACACAGAAAAAAATTGGCATAA